ATGTCATGTAACTTAAGCTGAATGTCCAAAATAGTCTTTTCTCTCAAGGAAACAATTACTCTCTCTACAATGACTTTATCATACTAATCAAATTACAACCACTGGTCCTCCAGCTGTTGTTGGTACTTCCTCTCAGCAGGGACTGAAGTGGGTTACTCAGTGATGTGCAATATCGTACTTGCTTGCTAGTTGTTTCTTCAAAGTCTTAAAAAAAAAAAATCCCATGTGTGAGGTTTAGGCTGCATGTATAGGACAATTTAAGATTAAATTCTTCATTCTGAAGTCATTAGCTCATTTTTTCGATGGGTAGGCTATAAATTTATTGCAGCATGAAGTATCTTGTATTTTGCAGGTAACTAGCATACTTTTGGATGAAAAAATGGGAAGCCTTTTGGTCATTAAAACTTAGGGTAAAAAAAGAGAGAATGAGGTTAGGGCATTGGCTTGTCTGTCTTTAGTAGTTAATGCTGATTAAAGAACTCAATTATTGCTAATGCTCTTTTCCCTAGTTCTAAACAGACAAAAGAGAGTAAGACACAGATATCTTCTTCAGAAGATGATATATCTCCTCCACCTGTGCTACCTCTTGCACTTAACTTCTCACCAGAAAAAACTGCTCCAGAAGTAGTACAAAACAAATTAAGAGAGCCTGAAGTACAAAATCAGCTGGCTGAAGAGAAACAAACTGAGGTAAGAAATGATGATACATTTTTCTACAGAACTACTAAGTAAACGGCTTGAAAATAAATTATTTCAAGATGAGGGACAAGTAGGAAAACCACTTCAGTACACACAAAGTTAAAATGGATTAACTGTATGCATGTGCACCCTCTAGTGCCTATTTTTAGCACTGAACATGTGTTCAGTGTTTCCACTAAGTTTGTTCTCATCTCAAAGCTGAATGGTCAAATATTTGCAGATTTCATATTAAATTTCCACTTCTGGATAAGTGCTGTGAAATCCTTGTGGATTTGATTAGAAAAGCAGTGTCACAGGGCAGTTCCTATTGCAGCCATAAAGCCCTTTTGAAAAAAAATAAAAAAATAAAAAAAATGCACTGCTGTAGCTAAACTCAGTCACCTAACAGCAATGCAAATCTGCATAGAGTGAGTGAGGATTAAACTCCAAAGTGCATGTAGCAGTAAATTTAGTGAAGTGTCACGTACTTAGTCTGGTGAACACTTTTCCCCTCTCCCAAGAATCTACTGGCTTCATGTTGAAAGCTGGCACTCCACAGGCATTAAGGAGAAAGAACTGAACTGGTAGTTCTGAAATATTAACCTGTCAAAGTGGCTATTGATTTACAAATATTCAGGTGTAGAATAATCTGTTGATTAATTACTAGATGTTATCGCATCAGTATTTTCCTTGTTAGCTTACTTGACGTGAAGTATCTGTTACAGAATTGCTTAGCACATGTACAGAGTAGTTAAACTGGACAAAAACATAACTAAAGTTTGGAGCTCTACAGGACAGTTTATATGGCTAAATAACATTGCACAGTAATTGTAGTCAAGTCATTTGAGAGTTGTTGCTCTTCTGTTTTAAATTTGACTTAACGTTGCTTTTAAGTGAAATTTTTATGCACCAAGGAGCTCTTTTGCTTTGTCTCACTGCAGTTTCCCTATTTGTGATGTTAGCCATTGGCAGAGCAAGAGCTGAGGCTTTTACACTGCATGCAAACAATCCTGCATGAAAAATACTCAACCTGTAAATTAAGCCTGTCCTGTGATAATTACAGCTGTATAAGCTAAATTGACTGCCTAAAAGTTTGAAGGAAGCGTGGAGAACAGAGGGAAAAACCTGAATCATCTTTTTTTCTTTTAAGGCCTTACTGGTAGATATTGGAGTAGACAAATCTCTCCCACACACCTTGGAATATGAAAGTAGACCTCTAATTGACCTTTCCAATACTCCCGAAGTGAATAAGATTACTCCTCTAAAGCCTACATTCCCAGGGCAGGTAAAGGTAAGTTATATTCATAGAATCATAGAATGGTTTGGGTTGGAAGGGACCTTAAAGATCAACCCCCCCTGCCAGGGGCAGGGACACCTTCCACTAGACCAGGTTGCTCAAAGCCCTGTCCAACCTGACCTTGAAGACTCCCAGGGATGGGGCATCCACAGTTTCTCTGGGCAGCCTGTTCCAGTGTCTCACCACCCTCATACTGAAGAATTTCTTCCTTATATCTTATCTAAAGCTACCCCCTTTCAGTTTAAAAACCATTGCCCCTTGTCCTATCGCTACATGCCCTTGTAAAAAGTCCCTCTCCAGCTTTCTTGTAGGCCCCCTTCAGGTACTGGAAGGCTGCTATAAGGTCTCCCTGGAGCCTTCTCTTCTCCAGGCTGAACAACCCCAACTCTCTCAGCCTGTCTTCATAGTCTTCTGGTGCAAATATGCTAGCAGAAAAATGTCAACTGGCTGCATACACTTGTCTGCAGAGCAGCTCCACAACACTGTAAGAATTATTTAATATTAGCTCAATATGTTCAATATGATACTACATACTAAGGTGCTCTTAAGTAAAGAGAACATAATGTTTAAAATCAAACGATGTGCTCTCAACTAGAGCTCAGTGAGCAATCTGTAAATAGGAAAAGGAGGAGGATGGAGAAGGAACTTAATGCTTAAAGCGGTTAAAGAATAAAACTGTTCTGAAGCGGGAGGTGAATGCTGTCTTCAGTAGAGTAGGCATACTGACTCTTGTTTTTCCTTTTCTTGCAAACTTTCAGTTCTTGGCAGCAGCAGCTCATTTTCAGCAAAAAAGCAAGGCTGTCTCTCCTGTTTACCTCCTCTCCCAATCCCCTCCTTAGTTGAAAGATGTCTGTTGGAATCTACTCTAAACTTGACAAGCGTTTCTGGGCAAGTGCTTTTTGTACACTAGTGGCTTGAAGGTAGATGCCTTTTAGATATTGTCAGATGAATCGTGGTAACTATGAGGATGTAGCCCTTGATGACATTAGGTGTAGTTGGGATCAATTTAATATCAGGTCCTTCAAAGTATCTCAAAAGAGGATCACAGAAGTCTGACTTTGGGGGCATGTTCAGAGGAGTTCAGAAGTGCTCTGCCCTGCCTGGATGACAGTGTCACTTGAATATGCATAGCAGTGCAACTTAGAAAAAAGCCTTTTAGGCTTTTAAGGTGAGTATGGGCAATAACCATCTTGTGAGAAGCTTGTGCTTGTTTAAGAATGAGATGGATGTTTACAAAACCTGAACCTAGAAGCTTGAGTGTGGTGCTTGTATCTGTCTTCTGGATACTAATAGGAATCCTAAAAAAAAAAAGTACTTGAGAAGACTGTTAACAGATTATTGCTGCTAGTAATTATGTACAACAGCTGACTAAATAGCTAAATTTTATCGTTTTTCTTTCAGCTAATTGATTTGAGTTCGCCTCTTATCACTCTGAGTCCCGATGTAAACAAAGAAAATCTGGATTCCCCTCTACTCAAGTTCTGAACTTGAGTTGAAATGAAGAATTCTTGGCATCTGTGATCTTCAAAGTGTTTAGGGGTTACTCTTCACTCATACAGGTTTTTTTTTGAAGATGGCTATAGATGATCTGATGAACTGCATTAACACAATAGAATTCTAACAGTCTTGATATAGTCAGACCAAGTCTGGTTAATGGTTCTGTTCATGGATGTGCTGCAATGGATGTATTTAAACTGTGTTGCTCTAAGGCAAAAAGGATTATTCTTGGTATTGGAAGCCTGTCTCTTTTATTTCCTACCAATTGTCCTTTGATTCTTTATGCCCTATGTGCAATGAAGATTTAATTTAAAATAAATGAGTTGTTGTTTACCAAACTGTTGTACAAAATACCAACCTCTTATTACAGGCTTTGGTTAGACTATTCTAGTGTTTCACTAACAAATGTTAAGATGTAGGTAAAGCTAGTGGACTTAAGGGTGGTTTTTATACAAAAGTGTAGCAAGTTTGGAAATAAATATTTTACTGTTTAATGCTAGTGGAATACACTAACAGCAACAGCTGAATTTGTGATTCAAAGGAGAAAGCAACAGCTTGTTACTGCCAGATGGTTTAGTCTTGACATTTGAAGGTTAGACTTGAACTTTCTCATTCTCAAAGAACAGAAGAATGCTTTCTTACCTGAATTTGCCACACTTGGATAATGCATGGAGATTTTAAATACAGGTAGGTGAATGGAAATGAAAATGCACACAGTAGTAGCCCATAAATGTTGAAGGAACAAGCCTGTCTTGGAGACTAGAGACTTCTGCTGTGCATGTACTAGCTTAATATATTAATGAAAGTTTATTGAGAGATGGAAATAGATTTTTTCAGCTGTTTGTATTAATTCAAAAAGTAGTGGAAGTTGGAGGCTTGTAAGTGTTTAAGTAGGAAGATGTGTTCAGGTGAGTTTGTCAAACATTTTGATGCCGAACAAGGCTGCTGCCTTGGCTTTATCTGCAGGCACTTGCCTACTTCTCAGCACAGCTGCCTTTTCCTGTGGTTACTGCAGTGTCGGACCGTTCTGAACGAAGGCCTTTGGCCAGACTGTGAAGACTCTTGTGAGTCAGAGGAAACAACCATGCCACCTGCTCCTGCCAAATATGAACCATAAAAATGTGGAATTTGTATACTTTCTTTGCTTGTCCCTGCTTTCCTTCTGTGAAAAGCAAGAGGGTTTCTTCAAAGCGTTTACTAAAACTTCCTTTGAGCCAGTGCTGTGCAGTTAAAAGCAATACTCAAACCAGGTCCTCACTAGTCATTAAATGAGGGGAGAATTATTTCTAAATTGAAACAAGAAGGAAATGTTAAAAAAAAAATCATGAACTTTTTTCTTATGAGTGATGTATTTGTGATTTCTTTTAAAGAGGTAAATGGGTTTATGCCCTATACTTCAAGGACTTGCAGGAAAGCCAAGCATTCTGTGCCCCTTGAGAACTACATTTTGTGAATGTATGCTTTTGCAGGCAGCAGACCTAAATCCTGGTTTTGAGCGTGGCCATGACAACTGCGAGCAAGTGGGAGTCATCTGCCTGTCGAAACACCCAAATCTGTGGTCCTAAAGTAGGCACCTGGCCAGCTGAATATTTCCGGGATCCACTGCCTGTATTGACTAGCCTAACTATCGGAGTTCAGACACTGAGTTGGCAGCTTGATGTGTCTTCAACTAAGAGCCAAATTCCAGTTGCTCAGACATCCAGAGATGCTTGAAGCCTGGTTAGCGCAGGAGGTCTGCCTGAGCCGCAGAGCTAGGGGAGACTGTGCTGCTCTGTGGAAGCGGCTGGAGCCTGGTGTAATAACCTCTGGCTTACTAAGTGATAATGAACACGAAGCAATCACATGGAGGCTGTAATGTTTTCTTCTGGGTCTTCCTTTGTCCAGTTCAATCAGCCGAGTCCTGTTGCTCATGGACCGTCGGAGGGCTCTTGCTTGGAGTATGTGTCCGAGGGCTCTGGTTGGCCTGAAGCGGGGAGGGCTGTGGGCCGGGAACACCTTCCTGGTCGGTTTAACGACGTACCGTCACCCCTGCACAGCCCCTGCCCTCCCCCTCCTGCGGCAGCCCCGCTGGGAGGGGTGCAGGCCGGCTGCACGGCAGTGAAGGGGGGAACAACACCGAGAGTGCTCCCCGGGAGGTGCCTTTATGAGCGGGGAGGGGGTAAACGCCAGCGCTGGCGCTGCTTGTGGCGCCGCACTGAGAAAAAGGGTGTCCCCGCCCGAGCCCCTGCGCGGCGCCGGAGCCCCCGCGGGGAGGCGCCT